TCTGTACCTGAGTTCTAGAGCCGACACCAGAGATCTATAGTTGTGTCTGTCATCTCCTGACAACTGTCCAAGTATTTCCAGTGGTTATCCCTTCAAGCTCGTTGCCAGATATACTGCTTTCTCCTCCTCTGTCCAACCATTCATTTCTGCCAGTAACTCATATTGTGCTCTATATGCTTCCCACGGTGCCTTCCCATCGTATTCATGTGGCTTCCTTCGTACTGGATCACTCCTAGTACTGGCTTTCATATCTGGGATGTGACTTCCAACAGGGCTGAAGATGTCTGCATTAGGGTTTAGCTGCAGGGTCTGGAAAGGGCTTGCCACTGTCTGGGGCTGGTTAAGTCGATGGTTAATGTATCCTCCTTGTGCAAAAGACAATAAATCGTCCTTTAACGTATCTAATTCGCTTTTAAATTTACTAATGTTTTCCGTTAGTACTTGTTGTTTTCTTTCTTGTTCCAGTTGCCACTGCTGTAGTCTCTTTTCTTGTTTCTTTTCTTTTTCCTCCAACAACTGCTGCAATTTCTCTTCTTGTTTATTTTCTTTCTCCTCCAACAACTGCTGTAATTTCTCTTCTTGTTTATTTTCTTTCTCTTCCAACCACTGCTGTGGTCTATCTTCTTGTTTCTTTTGCTGTTCTTGTATTGCTGCCATCAAATCTGCTAAGCTGTAGTTTGATTTGCTGCCTCTCGTTTCCATTTTTTTTTGTCCCACTCTCTGACACCAATTTGTTATGCCTCCGTTCGTTAGTTATTTTTCCGTAAAAATTCTTACCAAAGAAACTTTACCGATATGAGTCCTTTCTTAAATAAAACTGGTTTATTCTTCCTGAATACAACTTTGCGATACACTTAATTTCAACAGTCGCCTATAACAAACGCTATAATTCACAACGAACGTCTCACGTGCCCAACAATATTCTCTCTCTGTTCACAGTTCAATTACTCATTACCTTCTCTTGTTCCTTGGCTGGTCTTATATATACAAGACTACCCCAATCTAGTAGTCTCCCGACATTTCGTGAAGGTTCGAGAAGGAAGTGGCGTGATACAAGCGTCACGTGACCTTCGCTGTCGTAACAATATGCTTCACTAAAAGATTGATTCTAAGCAACAAAGCATTACAA